CTCCAGTTTGAGCTTCCGAGAATCTTTGATTCTCAAACTTGATATTCGCGGGATGAAAGGTGTTCGCCTAGCTTCTTTAATGACTCGATTGATATCTGGCTCCGAACTATTGGCCTGATGGAACTTTGATTTCATTTCCTTTAGTTCTTGGCTAACCTTTCTCATAGTCTCGAATTAGTCGAGGCTTTCTTGCTCGTACTGATCTGCAAATTGATCTTCGTCTTCGAGTTGCATCTCTCCGTCCGCCGGCTGAACTACCGTATTAGTGGCATCAGGAGTTATTTGTCCACTGGTCTCATTTCGCGCAAGGGGGCTTGGCGAATTGAATATTCTTCTTCGGATTCCAACAGGGTTTCCTGCACTCAAAGAGCGAACACGAGATTGTATAGTACTGACGTTTTGGCTAAGAGATACTTGGGTTGTTTGTAACGTGTCAACGGCCTTTTCCACATTCGAGAACTTCTGTGACATTTCCGACATGGTTTGCTGCATGGCTTTAAGGGTTTCGGCCAATGATGCATCAGGGATGTCTCCTCCAAACATTGCTGTTTATCTCGAAAATGTAGTGAAAAAAATCTGACCACTCAAGAATCTTCTTTTCCCACAGGCGGCACCAAAATTTGGATGTCGGATTCACACACTTAAATATTTATTTATTTAGTGTGAAAGACTATTCTTGAGGACAAAAATCAATGTAAAGAAATTGTGAATTGGTATGGAAATGGATATAGTATATTTGCTCGAAAAAAAATTCTCCTCTTACATGAACCTTGGCCCTTATATTTTATACTAACCAATGATATTTAACTCCTAATTAAATACAATTATTCTCTCTTAAATGTGGCCGTTTCAATCTTTGAATTTATGCTCAAACGTTCGAATTTGAATTGATTCCGATCTTCATGGGCCTCGCCTTTCAGCCTAAACAATCTTGAGCCGAACTATCCATGACTTTGACTCCGTTCTCATCCCGAAATACAACCACTTCGATCTTCCTTCGCGGTGTAGCCACCTCGACCCCACCCTTAGCTTATGGGTCTTAATGGGCCTTATCCCTCGTGGGCTTCTCTTCTGCCTATGTGGCAATCCCTGGTTGGTCCCGAACCATCCGTGCGGGATCCAACACCAACAGTGGGCACAAAGTGGATATTCAAGAACAAGATTGATGAAGATGGGAATGTGACTCACAACAAAGCTCGTACGGTTGCACAAGGGTACTCCAAAGTAGAAGAAATCAACTTTGATGTGACTTTTACTCCTGTAGCACGTCTTGAGTCCATCAGATTGGTCCTTGGAATTGGATGTGTGCTGAACATCAAGTTACATCAGATGGATGTAAAGAGTGCATTTCTGAATGGTCTGCTCCAAGAAGAAGTCTATGTTGTACAGCCTAAAGGATTTAAAGATCCTCACTTTCCTGAGTATGTATACAAGCTGAAGAAGGCACTTTATAGATTAAAGCAGTCTCCACGTGCTTGGTATGAAAGACTGACTCAGTTTCTGGTGAACAACGAATTTAACAGAGACAATGTAGACAAGACTCTGTTCATCTATAACTCTGGGTCAGACATTCTGGTTGTTCAGATTTATGTAGATGATATTGTATTTGGAAGCACCAGAACAGAACTAGTCAACAAGTTTGTCCAGACAATGACAAAGCAGTTCGAAATGAGCATGGTCGGAGAGTTGAATTACTTCTTGGGGTTACAGATTACATAATCTGTAGACGGTATGTTCATTTCCAGAGCACATATGCGAAGAATCTCATCAAGAGGTTTGACCTGCAAACCAGCACGCACTCCCATGAGCACAGTCTCAAAGCTGTCTAAGGATGAAGATGGTCAGGCTGTTGATCAGAAACTCTACAGAACAATGATAGGAAGTCTCATGTATCTCACAGCTAGCAGACCAGACCTGTGTCACAGCGTAGGTGTGTGTGCCCATTATCAAGCCAGTCCCCGTGTGTCCCACCTGAATGTTGTCAAATGAATCATCAAATACGTCAAAGGTACAGTTGAGCATGGTCTGTCTTACACTAAATATACTAATCAGAATCTTGTAGGTTTCTGTGATATAAACTATGACAGACGAAGCACAATAGGAGGATGTTTCTTTCTGGGCAATAACCTGATCGCATGGCACATCAAGAACAGAATTGTGTATCCCTGTCGTCTACCCAGGCTGAGTACATTGCTATGGGCAGATGTTGTACTCAGCTGCTGTGGATGAAGCAAATGCTGGCTGACTATGGTATGACTTCTCAGACTCTCTTAGTACACTATGATAATACAAGCGCAAATGATATCATAAAAAATCTTGTTCATCACACTCGCACTAAGCACATTGATGTTAGGCACCACTTCATTAGAGAACTAGTTGAGGGAAAACTTGTTGAGATTCATTATATTACTACTGAGAAACAGCTGGGTGATATCTTTACTAAACCACTTGATTTGAGCACTTTCACAAATTTGCAAAAGTCACTTGGTATTTGTGAACACTGACTTGCTTTGTCACTAAGAGATTATTGTAACAGGATCACTGCATAGGATTACAACAGTTTTTTAATCCCTTGGTTATTGTTCTGTAAACTGTAGCCTGTACATAACAAGAAAAACCTCCTATTGGCAATTTCACTCTGAAAAGGAGCTGCTCTTCATATTTGGCTTCGAAGATGTTCAATAGAGATGGCTTTCTGGTCTGCATATCAATCTTGATCACTGAAAAAAAGAAAAAAAAAAAAAAAGAATGAAAAGATGAGATGATTTTCTTTTGAGTAAAGGGGTAGGAAAATTTCCAATGACCTCATTACTTTACTTTGAAAGGAATGATCACACAAAGGTTGGAAGCGAGGTTAAGAAAATTGCCTGTGATACCATTATTCGCCTACACCTTTGACGACTATGAAAAAAAGGGAGAAAGCTGTCTTGAGAATATCGTCTGGTTGGGTATGCAGATGTGTAGACTAGTCTGGGTGAAGCAGTGTGTGTGAAAGCTCCTCATATGAGAAATAACTACCTCATTGAGCTGGTGGGTTGAACATGTTTTGAGTTCGTTGTGCTTGCTCCTGTGCACATCATGTTGCTTCATGAAATCTGTGTTCAAAGGAATGTTGTTGGTGTTTCTACTGATTGAAAACCCAATGAATCTAACACTTAAATGATATTTCTTGGTCAGCATATCTAGATCTTTAACATGGTTAATTTCTGTTCTCTGTATGCTTAATGGATGCACGTTTTTCTGTATTCAACAGATTATGTTTGTACAACACAGAGTGTTTGGTTTAAATTGCAGATGAAATATCTTTGGCCAGGCTCAATTTTTTTCTCACCGGTAAACACTGGTTATGTGTACTGATGGGATTTGTGAGTTTTCGATACAATTTCAGGGTTTGCCATTTGACACTGCTTCTCCTGTCCTAGAATGTCTTGAGTTTGTTTTTACATGAATGTGCACTCAAGCAGGGGGAGAATATGGTGATTTGTAGGATCTGTGAGTAAGGGAGAGCAAATGCTTCTGTTCTGCAGTCTGATTATGATCTTGGAATATACATTGGTTTTTGGCTAGTGTTTGTCAAACTAACCTTGACAGGATGCTCTAGAGCTTGAGGTGTCACATTCAAGCAGAAAAGGGAGAGATTAAAGACATATGGATGTCTGGCTACAAGACGATCATGTGGAGCACATGAGAGAGCTGTATGCGAGAAGCTGCGAGCGTTAAATAAAGATGATGTGGCGAGCTATGATTGGTGATGGAAGTTTCTAGAACGTGAGAATCAAGTTATTCAAGATATAAGCAAATCAAGGAAATAAGATTTGAAGATATCTTAGAATAGTAAATTAGGTTAGCTGCGTTTGTGTGGCTACCTATAGATTGGCAGGCTAAGCGTTAGGCTTAGATTGGTCGTCTTTATCATCTCTGTGAATCACAAATTCTAGACTAGAAGCTGTTAGGGTTCTTGGTGAGTGATCAGAATGTCCAGCATAACTGTTGGTGTGTTTGTGAGATTGGGTAGATTAGGAATTAGTCAGTGACGAGTTGTGTCAACGTCGTGTAAATCTGATTAAACAGATCTATTAGATTGTTTAAGTGATTCCTAATAAAAAAAAAAAAAAAGAGGTTATTTTCAATCCCATCGATATCTACGTAATAACAGCTACTAAAACATATCTATTAAATCTAATGAACTAGTTTATGCAAAACTAGCTTTGGGCATAAACCCGGAACCCAAGACTCGACCCGAAACTAAACCAAATAGGCGGTTCAGGTTAGTTTTGGTTCCCTTAAATTACTTACATGAGACTTCTGTAAATATATTTGTGTTCTAGGTTTTTTCGGATAGTACCCGAGACCCGAGCAGGTATATGCATATTCCCAAGATATAAACACACATATTAATAGACTTAACCTATAGTTATTGGTTCCACTAATGCCTAAATCGATTTCGTTCTTTCTCCAGCAACGTAGATAAATCGATCACAGGCATGATGTTGTCTCCTTCTTCCTATTCGATTATAACGTTTAATTATATCTTGTGCTTCGTTTGTGTTAGTTTTCACTTCGAACTTCGTCTTGTTTTTTTTACTCTTTTAGTTGTCACTTAGATCTCTATCTCTGTTGATTTGTTTTATGTTTTGATTAGTTTTTCTTTTTATACTTTGTCTCTATTGATTTAGTTATAGGTTTTGTTCTTCGTCTCTAACTCTATGGTCATTTGTTTATGGTTTTTATCGTTCATTTATGTGTTCTTACTTGAAGTTACTTTGCTTCGGATATGTTTTGTCTCTTACTCACTTTTTTCTTCATCTCCGGAGTGACTTCTTTATATGTTTTCTGCTATGTTGAGTTTGATAGATTGATATGTTTGTGGTTATGATTATTTGTTAAGTTCTAATTCTCGTCTCTGTTGATTTAGTATGCCAATTCTGATTTATATGTATTTCTCTTCTCTTTTAGATGGATTCGTCCTCAATTGCAAACGACATTGATGCCAAGAATTGAAATCACTCAAGAACCAGAAGAGGATTTGAGGACTTCTGATAATAAAGGTAAAAGAAAAGAAGTTCCAGGGAAAGATGCATTTAGTTTTAAGGCAATTTAGGTCAAAGACTATAGAATAGAAAAACAAGGTCTATAGTGTACGAGCATTATACAAGATTCAAGGACAATAAAGACAAGTGCAAATGTTAATATTATGCAGAAGTTTTCACTTATCCAACAAGTTTGTGGATGTTGGAATCCGCACTCTAATATTTGTGAAAGATTTTGAGATCGTATTATCGAGAATGAACTATATCGGATATAAAGATAACAAATAACAAAAGTGAAGTGGTATTTTACTGCATAAGAGTCCTCCTCTAAAAATGTTTGTTTTGTCCCCTTTATAGCCACAATGTAACGACCCTTGACCAAACGAGACGTAGGTCCGGCTAGTCCCGTTATTCGTGATAAGTACTTCGAACAAACAGACCGAGGTTCTTCTAGAAGAAAACTAGCGTCTCTAGTTTGCCCAGACTTAGTTCCGTCCCTTCCAATATCGATATTAGGCTTTCCAACCTTTTACCAAGAAAAGAAGTTGTGTCGGTCCGGACAAAGCCTTATCATCAATTATTCACCATTAATATTAAACATAACTTTATTAATAATAATAATAATAATAATAATAATAATAATAATAATAATAATAATAAACAACTGTACAATTTCTAGTTTTATCGAGTCACGACTACAGCCTACTACCAAAAGATCTTAAACTACGAACTAAGAAAGAAACATACGTCTTTTACAAAAGCAACAAAAAGCTACACCAACGGCCTACATGTCCAAACTCCCCTCTAAAGCGATCTGACTAATAGTTACCTGCAACAAACAATATTGTCATGAGTACTAGTCACTTAGTTTGATTCCCCTACTCGGAAATTAAACACCCATAAAAAATAACAAGCAAAGAACATACAAACAAGCAATCAAACAATACATGCAAACAATCAAGAATACCATTCACAAAACAATGGAAAACAATGAGCCTATCATACATCTAACAAAGCGAAACAATATATAACAACACTAGTAATCCCTATCGCAATGTGATCGATCTTTCCCAGTGACCAATTCATTTATAGCCACAAAGTCTATAAATGAATTGTTCACGTTGGTCTACCTTGGAAGTAATCTGATCGTTGGATCATCATGCATCACCCGACCCTTGGTCGCAACCCACTCTATCAGAGTCGAATGAAACAAGGGAAGCACATTCAATCACCAAAAAACTTCTACAAACAAATACAAGCAGCAACAACAACAACAATCCACAAATACTAGCATATTAATAAACAAATCAATCAATTATGTGCTACTTTACACTTAGATTCTTTTCGTCAATGGCGAAAAAACAGCACTCTGCCAGAGCTTCTTCACCTTTGGGATTTCGTTTTTATTTTTGTTTTAGCTTGATTCTCTTCTATATATATATATATATATTTGTTGTGCATCATGCTTCCTTGTGCATCGATCTTAAGTACTTCAACTGATAGATGTGCATTTGCAGCATATTTCATTTGTAATTATTTAAGATTTTATTAATCTGATTTGTTTAGTGAAAATTAGGCACACATCACTATAGCCGAAGATTGGTTGTGTAATGTTGCTCAAAAACATTGATTTCTAGAAAATGACTAATGAATGGAACAAGATAACAAATTACACAAATGGCTAAATTTGTTGTAGAATATATTGTTATTTCAAGAGACAAAGTTGGTCATAAAGTGTCGATTCCTAAGTGTTAATATTATATAGCTCCATGAGAAATAAATTGCCTTTCAACGTTCTAAGCATCTTATGTTGTTCATTTAGTATTTCTGATTCACCTAACATCAACAGTATATAAAGAGCTCACCTACCAAAAAGTTATTTTAAAACAATATTAGGTTTTGTCTGTTTACATTCAACCAACGAACAATACATGAATGGGACAATATATTTCTTAAAAAAAAAGATAGGACAATAGAATAGTATTGGCATTTGGCACAATAGATGAATGCTTATCTTTGTTAGTCTCTAGTTTTTATCTTCTAAACATATTTTCAGAACTCTCCAATTTATATAGCCTCAAATTAACCAAATTATAAAAATGACAGTCAGATTTTTCTACTACCACAAAATATGAAAACTGAAGCACAAAAAGATATATTGCTTAAAATTTAGATACAAGTTTGCCTTCGCAATGGACATGGCGATTAGAGAGAGAGAGGGAGAGAGAAAGTTTCATTGTAATGTAAGAGTTATTTAAGAAGATGACTTTTGTCGCATCCTGACATATGTATTGTCACTTTTAGGTACCACGATTATGATTTGATCTCTTGATAATTCTTAACACAGAGATATAAAATAAAATATTCAATATTAAAGGAAAAAAAAAAGGTTGTAGAAAGCATATTAGGTTTGGTGGTAATGTAGTTAATAAAGAAATTTATATAAAAGATTGCAAAGTGTTATATACGAATAGATGACTAACACAAATAATAATCAAATCCATCGATACTCAGGATAACATCTTCTAAATCTATATGTATTTGAGAACGTTGATTTACAGATATTTTGTATAGTTTTCAACTTGAATCATATTAAATTTTATATGTTTCTAGTTCAAAACTAATTGGCAATGAGTGGATATTTTCATGTTTTATCTAAATTTCCGATGTAGCATATTCCTATCTAAACGTTCTTTTGAGATCTATAACACCTTAAGAAAACTTAGCCATTAATTTTGATAGAATCCATCATACTCCCTTTGAAATAATTTTCTTCATTCTATCTATTTCGACAAAATGAAGCCTTCCTTGGACCATAAACTGGTGGGATGATCGGACTACTTTCTCTAAACCTAAACCTCCGTCTAATCGATCTTGTTAGTTTTTTTCCAAGAAATCTAGCATATCTTTGTTTCTCTCCGAATTTACTTCCCACCAGAATCTAATGACTTATTTGATGCGTTTGCAAAGAGATGTGAAAATTTTAAAACAGGTCATTAAAAAAGGTGGGCATAGTCATATGTCTATAATTTGCATGTTTTATGCATTCATTTATTATCGTTTTGAGTCTAGTTTCAATCATCTTTCATATCATTCATCATTGTTTTGCACACTTTACACGATTAGGTGTGAGTTGCATTAGTCTTGCATGCATTCTGCATTTCTGAGTTGTTTTCAGGTGATTTGGAGCTGTTGGCGATCAAATTGGAAGAAGCGAACTGGAATCAATTAGCAGCTACTCGACCACGAGGTCGAGTACTTCCAGACTCACCTACTCGACCCCGTGGTCGAGTAACACCAGCTCGCACCACTCGACCCAGAGGTCGAGTACACACTCGACCAACCACTCGATGGCATGATCGAGTATCTGCAGCCATCACTCTCCAGAGCCACTCGACCTCACACTAGATTGTCATACTTGACCACGCACTTGATCGCAACTTCAGAGTCTTCTCAAATCTGCACTCAACCAGACAAGCTGAGCATAAGGAAGAGAAAAGGAGAAGAGGAAGTGTTTGGTCGCGGTTCGGAGTTCTACTCGATCACAAGGCCCATCTTGGCCCATCATCACTCTTTGGACCGATCGAGTTGATTCCCGAACCGCTTTCCTTGTCGTTTTACTTGTGTTGTTATAATTAGACTTCAAGGGTTTTGTTCCGAGATATCCAGTTTTACATCCAGTTTTTCATTGAGTTTTTACCTAGTTTACTATATCATTTTCGCCGCTTTGTGAAACTGATCATGAGCATAACATAAACTGCCAAAAACCTTGACATGATTATAAACAGGTTTCTCATTATATAACCGCTCGTAGGGTGTCATTCCTTTCAACACCATACTTGGTGTCCGATTGATTAAGTACGCCGCCGTCAAGACGCACTCGCCCCAAAATTCAATTGGCAAATTTGCCTCAAATCGCAGCGCCCTTGCGATGTTGAGAATGTGCCTATGCTTCCTCTCAACTCTCCCATTATGTTGCGGAGTTCTGATGCAAGACATCTCGTGTAAAATACCTTGTTGTTTAAAAAATTCACTGAGACAAAGGAATTCAGAACCGTTATAGCTTTTTACAATTTGAACCTGTTTCTCAAACTGCCGTGTAGTCACTGCCAAAAAATTCTTAAGGTGATTAGGAGCTTCAGATTTTTATGTCATCAAATAAAGCCAAACGCCGCAAGAATAATCGTCGACAATGGTTAAGAAGTAACGAGCACCAGAATGAGTAAGAGTTCGATACGGACCCCATAAGTCACAATGAATTAGATCGAAAACCCCTTTCCTTTAATTCTCACTTATTGGAAAGGACAATCTTGTTTGCTTAGCGCGGAGACATACATCGCACGCTTTATTCGAAATTTCAGAAACAACATTTGAAACAGCAGGGAGAAGACCAACTACTTTTGCTGAAGGATGTCCCATCCGCTTGTTCCAGAGCTCAAAAGCTTTGTCATCTCTAACCACCACATATGCTGCTAACTCCATACTACGAAAGTGGAAAGTCCCTCCCATACGCCTACTAACTCCAGTCACCATCCTCGTAGTGCGGTCCTGAACAACAAGGAAACGATCAGCTAACTGCACTACGCAATGATTCTCATCCATCAGTTGGCTAAGAGAGATCAAATCATTTTGGAAATCTTGAACATAGTAAACTGAGAGAAGTATCAAATTATGCCCTAGCCTCACAGACCCTTCCTCCTTAACAGCCACTCCTTCTCTACCGTCAGCCAATACTACACCCACTGGTTGCATCCTTAACATCCGTTAAAATATCTAGACGACCCGTCAAATGATGCGATGCACCCGTACATTATCCAAAAATTTAAAGAAGACTTGCCAGTGAGTTTTTCGGTGTCATGAGTCTTCCCAGCATTGAGGAGATTCTTAATTGCTCTCCACAGCGAGTCGCTAAATCCAGTCACTCTGTCTCTGTCTTTATCGATCACCACATAGTTAGCATGTTCATAAGCTACAGGTTCGTTGACTTGCGCTGCGTTGGCGTATGAGGTGCTGCCACGACCCCTTCCAGCTCCGCCTCGACCACGTCCTTGCAACGTTCTGCTCTTTGGCCTATCACCCCACCATTCTGGATAGCCAATGACCGCATAACACTTGTCTGAGCTATGTCCAATCCTGTTGCAGAGATTGCACAAAGCACCTTTTTCCTTATCGTCGTTTCTATACCGAGGTCGGGTTTGAACTGCAAATGATGTCACCTCCACATGCTTCTCATCTCCACTTTTACGGATGTCTTCTTCTTGCCTCACAATGTTGTAAACTTCCTCCAATGGCTGAACAAGGACACGTGAAACAAGGCTAGGCATGATCGTACGAAACTGATCGTCAAGTCCACACAAGAATTGATGTACCTTGTCTTCTTCGCGATCTACTTCTTGTGCCGCCCCAAGGTTACACGTACACAGACCACATTTGCACGCTCTTATCGGTCGGTAGCTTGCAAGACTGTCCCAGATCTGAGTCAATTTTCTGTAGTAGGCTTCAATCGCAGCCCCTCTTTGTTTGCAGTAAGCCAATTTAGCTTGGATTTGCTGAATTCGAGCCCCATTCATCACAAAAAATCGCTTCTTCAAGTGATCCCACAGATCCTTTGCCACACCTCTGTGAGAGGTTGTTGAACGCAGCGAGGGATCAATGGTCATCTTTATCCAAGACACGAGGAGTGCTTGGATCGTCCACCAATCCTCCAAATCAGGTGATACTTCTGTCGGTTTTGATATTGACCCGTCGAGGAAGCCAAATTTCTTGCGTGATGATAACGCCGTCTTCATCTCGCAGGCCCACTCGTCGTAGTTAACTCCCTTCAAGAGCGGATGAGAGATCACCGCACCAGGATTATTGGCGGAGGTCAAGTCGTAAGGTGAGATGGTTCTTCTCACCTCCGTAGTTGCAGCAGCAGCAGCAGCTTCAGTCGGGTTCGGGTTCGCCATTCAATTCGTGAGAGATCTTAAAGAATTTTCGAAAGAAAATGTTCAGCGCTCTGATACCATAAAAAATCAGAAACTGAGATCGATGAAAGTGTTTTTCTGTGTATTCAATGATGCGATTACAGAGGCTTAAATAAAGTACAAAGGATCTAAAGAGTATCTACATCTGAACTATCTCCGAAACTTGTGGAACAACTTCTTGTTTTCGTGGACTGAGGAACAGACCTCAGAATCCGTTAATTGTAATTCGAGATATTCAGATTCTGCATTAGATTTTTTCTATCACCTTTTCTCTCTACTCTTAATCTCTTTGCTTATGCAATTTAATTGTTTATTCGCGATTATGTCTTTGAGTATGTTGCTAAGTAGTGACATAGAATTCTTAAGGATGAGATAGAATGGTTGTGGGATCCGTAGTCTTTAGGATGGTTAAGCTTTAGAATTTGATTGAATCCCTTCTAGACTAGTTGTGTTTACTGCTTATTTCTGTCTGATCAACTGGAATTTGATCCAAAGCATTCCGCACCTAGAAGGTGTTCGATGGAATGCTTGATCCACTAGTTCCAGAGATATTCGTCTCTATCCCAAGAGATTGGCCGTTTAGAGCGTTTATTGATTGTAATAGGTTGAATCGTATTGCCTGCATAGTTAGATTCCGTTAATGGGAATTAGTCTGGGCTAGCTTTGCTTGAGGGTTTCTATCACGATAGTAAATTAATCTGTTGTTGAACCTGTTGTCTAGGGATAGCTTGATTGCGCTTTGTTAACTATCTGAATAGGCTAAGGAGACCACTCCATTCGATTACCTCATCCTTAGGAATTTCTCGTCTATTTGATATCTTTGTTTACATTGCTATTGATTAATCGTTCTTGTTGTATGTTGCTTAGTTTTTGCATTTCTTACCTGTTTTCACTCATATACTCGACCACACCCAGTGTCTGGCAACAGACTGTGCGGTAGTATATATTTGTTGCATTTTCTGTCTGTTACTCGACCTGTTACTCTACTACACCCAGCTCCTGGCATCAGCCAGTTGTGGTCGAGTGTTTTGTGTAATTCTGTTAGAATTTCTGTTTTCTGCATGTTCTTAGGACTGTTAGAAACTCCAAAATCTGTAATCATCTGGCTTGACTTAGTGACTTCTGATCACATCTCATCTGTTTGCATCTCATCTAAAATGGATTGACACCTTAAATACTACAATGACATGATAGTGATTTAACGAATTGAAAAACAACAATAAAATCTTACTATCACATAGCTATAAGTACAGATTTTTTCCAATACGAACTGAATTCCTAACTTCTCTAAGATCCCTATGTTCTTAGTAACAAAAAAGTTTAACCACTATACTAACCATCAATTTAAAAAAAAAAAAATTTGTTCAACATACATATTATAAACAAACAATGTGCAAAAGAAAAGGAATTTCTCCTATTTAAAGCGAATATTTACTTCGTATATATTGTAATTACTGCTTCCTAATATTCGTTTGAAAGTTGGTTTAATTTTTAATAATTCTTAATCAATTGATTTAATTTTTAATAATTCTTAATCAGAGAAAGCTCCAACCTATCCTATATATAATAGAATTTATTTTCTGTATGGTGAACAGTTGAATGCACTAGTCCCACCTTATCGAATCATATTGAAGATATACGATGTGCATATCTGATTTCGAGAAATTGTTAAAAATACCCCTTTTGGTGTGCCCCTTTTCAAAAATGCCCCTTTTAGATGTCCATTTTTAAAAATGCCCCTTTTTAAATCTGAAATTTTTATAAAGTTTTATTAGGTTTATAAGGTACTTATGGATTGTAACTACTACTTGAAGACTCGATCCAAGTATTTATAAGGTTTTATAAGGTGTTTTTAAAGGTTTTACAAGTTATTTTAAAGGATTTTTAAGGTTTTTCAAAGGTTTTACAAGATATTTTAAAGGTTTTTAAAGGTATTTAAAATGTATTTATAAGATATTTATAAAGTATTTATAAGATTTTAGATACATAGAAATGTAGTTTGTGTACGTTTTAATAATATTACATACATATTTGGGTAAATCTTATATTTTTAAGAGCATTTTTTATAAGGTTTTTAAAAAAAGGTATTTTTAAAAAGTGGCATTGAAAAAGTGGCATTTTTGCAAAAGCCTCTTTCTTATATAGTACACACTATGCAAGTCTTTTACTATATAAACTAGATAATTTATCCGCACTATGTGCGGGCTAAAATGACAATTAAAAAAGTGCATTGTAGTTTTAGTTACAAAAATTATTGTATTATTATCTAGAATCTGAAATTTGTTAGTGTATTATGAAACATGTTAAAAATCGTCTTATATTCCAATCATCGATTTTTCGTCTCGGAATTCGTTTTATCCGTAAAATTATTGAAGACGACAATTTCTTTTGTAACTTAAATAACAAATACACATACATCTTTGTAAAAGAGTTGATGAAGATTTTAAAAAATTAGATTGCTTGAAAACTAAGAAGATATGTGCTCGGTAAATTTGAAAGGATGAAGATGATATCAGGGAATATATTTATAGAAAAATATTTTGTGTAGGGTTTCCGTTTAATTTTAAAAATTGGATTGCCTTCAAAATTTGAAAATTAACTTATTGTTGTTATTATGATAGATTTAGTTAGGATTTAGTTTTGAGAATTAATTTTATAAATGTAGTTTGGATTTATGAACCTAACAAAATTTACACTTATAAAAGTTACAAAAATATATTCATATATTAATTTACATGAATATACGCTAACATTAGATTATATATATGTTAGTATAACATTAGATTAAATATACGCTAATATATATATATATATATATATTAGTCTCGATTTAAAAATATAGATCTTAGATCAATTTAATATATATATACTACACAAATCCTTTATGTATAGATGGAGATATGATATTTGTATTACTGATGTTTAATGTTAATTAACGAAATAATTAGAATATCATGGCACATTTGTAACTAATCTAGTAATATTTGGATAATTAATTGTTTAAATCATAAAATTCTGTGAACACGACACGTCAGCGTGGCAATCTTGTAAATCACACGGAGGGGCAAGGTTTTTTATTAATAATGCTTCTCAATTAATATATAATGGATAATATCATAATTTTACTATATTATTTCAAACGTCATTCCTAATACAAATATTTTGCTTTACTAAAAAAATGTTACAAAAATGCGTTTCATAAAACATTTAAGTTTATAAGTTCAAATATTGTAATATATATGAACTAAATCATATTATAACTTTATATATATATATATATAGTAATATAAATGTATATATATATATATTGAAACTTATAGTAACCTATATTTACTACACATTAATCATACATATTATTAATATATGTTCCTTTTTGTAACCGATTATTTTTCGTAAGCAAATTACACATCAAAAAGATAAAATTTAAAACTACGGCACTCTAATATCAGTATTATACTAACAACACATGCTTCTATATACCAAATATAGATCACACATTAACATAATATAACTTTTAAAATACCAATATTTTATAAGATCAAATAGTTTTAAAAAGAAAAAAAATCAGAAATACATGATTTTATGTTGTCAGCGCGGATCAAAAACACCTTGTAGAAAATTAGAGGATATTGGTTTTGCTTATTTTACTAAATTAAATTAGGATTATTGGAGGGTATTATAGACTTTCGTACTACATTTACAACTATAAATACCCTTCCACTTCTATGGGTTTCTTTGCAACATATACTCATTTCTCTGAGTAGGTGACCCCATAAAGAAAATCATTTCCTCAGAGTCATAGACCAAAGTCCAAACAATGGAATTCAATTGTGTTCATTTTCTTCAAAACAAGACGATTCTTGTCACAGGAGCAACCGGTTTCCTTGCCAAGGGTAGGTCCTTTTGGTTAACTCCCACCAATTAACTTACGTCCAAAATGTTCTTCAAGATTCGTTAGCCTGACGTAGTAACTAGAAAGATTGTTCGAGTTCTCATGATGATGTCTAGAAAAATAATAAAAATTAAAAAAAAGATTACTTTAAAATCTTTGATGTCTCCTTCTGTTGTGTTTAACTGTTTTTCAGCTCGTGGGTTCCTTAGAATATTAAATATATTATTTCCTAGTGACAACCAATCGGATTATTATTAATATTCACTAATATTTTTTAGTTTTTGTGGAGAAAATTTTGAGAGTACAACCAAATGTGAATAAGCTGTACCTCGTGGTGAGAGCATCCGACACTGACGCCGCGACGAAACGCTTACGCACAGAGGTTTGTTTTTATACCAACAAACCTTATTTTTGTACTATCTAATACATATTCGTTTTGCTGAAGTATATTCATGAATATACAATTAGATATTTGTTCATCTGATTAGCTGAAGTATATACATATGATAGGCCTTCGAGAAAGATCTTTTTAAGGTGTTAAGGGAGAGTCTTGGCGATGAAAATTTCAATACATTGTTGTCCGAAAAAGTTGTCCCGGTCGCAGGTGATATTGCGATGGATCATTTAGGCATGAAGGACTCTAAACTCAGAGAACGTATGCAAAAAGAAATCGATATTGTTGTTAATGTGGCAGCCACAACTAATTTTGACGAGAGGTACTAGCTACAAGACATTTCTAATATAACATTTCTAGTTTTCCTTTTGTTTTATCTCTAATAAAATGTAAATTTAATATATACATGTGAAAAAGATATGATGTTGGTCTTGGAATTAACACATTTGGAGCTCTCAATGTCCTTAACTTTGCCAAAAAATGTGTTAAAGCTCAATTGCTTCTCCATGTTTCAACTGGTGAGTCTTTTTTTAATTTCTAGCCATTCCTCTAAAAAAAAATTGTTAAATTATTTCCTTGTTTCTATTTTTCTTCATTTCTTTTTGTTTTTAATGGGATTATATCTTTTTTATTGGAAGTTCCCTTAAAACACTATCTTATTATGCTATCAAAATTTGTTATATTTTTTAACTAACTCAAGTTGGAATTGGAAAAGTACATTTATTTTATGATGTTTATAAATTTATCGAAATTTCAATAAATTTCTCTGTATTCAAATTATTTCACTCTTCATATGGTTCTTAAAAGCTTTAGTCTTACTTCTTTTTTGTCTCTAGCTTATGTTTGTGGAGAGAAGCCAGGTCTCCTACCTGAAAAACCATTTGTCATGGAAGAGATTCGTAACGAGAATGATTTTCAATTGGATATACACCGTGAAAGGGAGCTGATGAAGCAAAGATTGAAAGAACTCAATGAACAAGATTGTTCAGAAGAAGACATTACTCGCGCCATGAAAGAACTCGGCATGGAAAGGTGAGTGTTGTTGATGATTGAAATATCTATATTACTCATCAGAATGGAATGAAATATATATATGGTATTATGTTAATGATTAGGGCAAAGCTTCATGGATGGCCAAACACATATGTTTTCACCAAATCGATGGGAGAGATGCTTCTTGGTAACTACAAAGAAAATCTTCCTCTCGTCATTATCCGCCCCACGATGATCACTAGCACTCTTTCAGAACCATTTCCTGGTTGGATCGAAGGATTAAGGTAACTTTGTCATCGATTAGGATTTTTACGTTTGATACAAAAAGTTAAACATAACTTGTCGTTAGTCCAGGATAGAACTTTTATTTATGATTTAATAACTCAAGATTTCTAACCAACCTATCTAGAATTTCTTTCCTAGTTACAATTGTTCTCGCATTAATGATGTTTGTATATAGAACTGTAGACAGTGTGATTATTGCTTACGGAAAGGGAGTGCTCAAGTGTTTTCTTGTCGATGTAAACTCGGTTTGCGATATGGTAAGTTGCCACCAAGACTAAAGATGTGTATTTTCCCAAACAGTCATATATCTTATCTATACATTTATCATACTCCCTATATATTTATGAGTTTATTAGTAATTTAAAATATTAACTAATATTAAATAAAACCCAAACTCTTATAGCTGTATCCTAATTTTTTTTATTGGATGCGATATGAAAAACAGATACCAGCGGATATGGTGGCAAACGCGATGATCACGGCTGCAGCCACACATGCTGGAGGTTCAAAGGTTCACATGGTGTACCAAGTTGGTTCATCTCGCCAAAACCCAATAACATATGGAGAGATCCGCGAAATTTTGTTTTGTTACTTCACCAAAAACTCTGCGCAGTCGCAATAGCTCGCTGATAACCGTCTCAAAAATGAAGCTGATACCAACTATGGCTTTGTTCAGCCTCTATATGACCATACGTTACAAACTACCTCTCCAGGTACTAATAGGCATGAGAGGATTTTTAAATTATTTAGTATATTTAAGCTAATTATGATCAAACTTATAATTACTTTCTAACGAAGAAAACTAAATATTTTTTCATAGGTAATTTTTTGTAATAGTGTTTTGATCTGTATTGTTAATTCTTTATTTTTCCTCTATCAGTTATTAAAATTGGTTGATATAATATATCCTTCGAGGAAAGGAGACAATTACAAAAACAAGAACCGCAAAATCGGTATGGTGATGAGATTGGTAAACCTTTACGAGCCTTACGTACTCTTCAAGGGCATGTACGTATTCCTAGTGTGAAATTTAACTCTCTTAACTAGTCAGAATAATAAATTTGAAAGAATGGTTTATATATTTACATAAGATCAATTTTTTTTTTGCAGATTCGACGATAGGAATACTAAAAACTTATGCGCCAACCAGAAAGGAGAGGACAACCAAAATTCAGAAAATTTGAAGTTTGATTTCGACCCTAAAATCATTAAATGGAGAGATTATCTTATAAATGTACACATTCCTGGCCTCATCATTCACGTGCTTAAAAAATAAAACCCATGCAAATTTTCTTGACTTTCAAATGTATCACCAATAAGACAAGACAGTATTTATTTGTCTTTAATTAAAACCATAAAAAAAAAAAATTATTTGTACTTTGGTATCACCAAACGTAATGATGTATCATGTATATATTTCGTAAGTATGTATTATCCTCTTATAATCTTATTGTTGGCTCATTTGAATATGCAATGTTAGTGTACTAATATTTAGCTTAAACGGTTGTTTAGATATCATTCTCGAACCTTTTGTCTCATGCTTTAAAGCGAAACCCTTTTCCTTGCTGATGAACAAATTCATCTCTCTTCTCTTGCCGGCGAGAACCTCGGCCATAGAATCTTCTCCAACGTCATCTAGTCTATTGACTGTGACCATTGTTCTATCCAACGCTTCATTTGTGGATGAATGATGAGTGTTTTCTTTCGCTCAAAGTTTTTTTTTAAAGACCACACGACTACTGCAATTGCACAGTGAATCGTCTATAGTATTTAAGGATTGAATCCCACAGATAGAGAAGTTGTTTATACGAATCCGTCAGAAGAGAGTAAGGTTTGGACTAATCAATAAAAAGAGGGTTTTTGGTGGTGTCATGAACGATTGCAATAAGTAAATAAAAGCAAGTGTAAAGTAATAAGAGACAAACGTTGGACATTCAACGGATCATAGGGGGTTCAATGATCTTTCTAACTAGGTGATACTAAGTTCAGTTTTGTTTACTTCCAGTTCTTGGAGGTACGAAACACTATTGATCGGCGAACCCTAGGTTATAGGATAAGTCGGCTAAAATCTTTATACTCTTTTACTCAACCCATGCAGGCAACGATGCATATATCAAAGCAATAAGATCTGAGTTCGATTCTAGCCAATAAAGCCCTATAAATAAGTGGTGTGTGCTTGTTATAACACGATACTCATTCGTAAGCTAGGTTCGAGCATATTAAGCAACCTTTTGGGTAACGTAAACACTTGAGATCAGAGTTAGGTCATGAGGATAAGTACATGCATTAAGGGAAAGCCTAATAATAATGTAAACGATCAAACAAAACCCTATGTATCGTTACCTAAATGATCGATCGGTCCCAAAAGGGACTTCACCACCGGTCACACTCTTTGTGATCGGTCTCAGAAAAAGCTCCATTCAAACAGGCACTAAAAACGACCGTTAATCGTATAAGTCTAATTCTAGATCGCCGCGATAATGACTCTTCTAGCTTTTTATAGAGTCCAATATCTCTCAATTTAGTGCACAGAGAAGTCACCAACGGATGTAAAACTTTTGGAGCTTCGAATCTGTCCGGAAACGTGTTTTTGTCCCCTTTTGGTCATTTTTCTCTTGAAACTCACAAAACCTTCTTGACTCCTAAACTACTTGAATATCATCTCTTTGGCCTTGAAACCACACCAAATACTTCCTAAAACATAAGAAAACAATAGCTAGTACAAGTAAAAATACGATGTTATCAATGAACCTTCGCCAAACCGTGTTATCGCTTGCGCCAAATTGCTCCCTGGCTTTTGTCTCCAACCTTTCATGGATTCTTTGTCGATCTATACCTTTGTAGCATTGAAAATTCCTTTGTATGATCCTTATCTCCTTGGTTCTTTTGAACTTTGGTGTGATTTGAATGAATGAATCAAATCTTTGCCAAATAATATATATATATCATTTAACGTTCGAACTTAATTCGCTGTTTTAATTTTGTTTGTTACAATCACTTAAAGTTCTTGGAAAAATGATCAAACATCACAAACAGTTTGGATAACTGATATTACATATAGACCACGACATCGTCACACAATATCCGAAATTTATAAATGTATAGTAAATTATAGGGTTTTGTGCAAAAAAACCCTCCAACTCGCCCATTTTTGCAACTGTACCCTCCATCTCCGAAAAATGCAGATTAATATATTATTTGTATATTGTAAACGTTTTTTCGGTCACATACATTGGTTTTTTAAAATTCTAAAAGTAGAGTTGAACTCTTCATCGCGAGGGCTTCGATTTGATATATTATTTGTCAAAATTTTACGAACTTGACGGTAATGAATAAGGGTTATATTGCACATTATTTGGGACTTCGTAGTATTAATCTGCATTTTTCGAAGATGAAAGGTAAAGTTGCAAAAATGGGCGAGTTGGAGGGTTTTTTTGCACAAAACCCTAAATTATACCAACTAAATGTTTCACATGCCCACATATACCTAATAACGTATGACATGGTGCAAACGATTCTAAGTTTTCTCGAATCCAAAAAAGACTAGCGTTAATCAAAATAATATTCAAAATATTTAATTTCAGTTATATTTGATAAAATGTTAAAAAAAAAACAAATTATAAAAAATTAGAAGTAAATAATACATCCTTCTAATTTGTATGTTTGCATTATAACTTGCAGATTAGTTTTCTCAATATCCTACCCTCTTATTAATGTAAGACTAAATTAGTTTCATGGTTTCTGTAGGAGAGTGATTTAGCACCACCTGGTTAACTCGAGTTGAACCAAAAATAAACCAGAACTTTGGGCCATTTCGAAGGCTTGGATCTATGGAAAGGCCCACTTAACTCAAAAATAGAAGGATCAAGGACGACCTAACAGAAAATGGAAGAATTATTTCGAACATACATAAATATTGCGAGGGAGAAAAAAAAAAGAAAACATTTACTCAAAGAATATGGAAAGATAGCATATTCGAAGACCTAGGGGAAGGAGTATAAAAACAAATTAGCAGCGGACGAGAAAATGATCCACATTTTGCACCTCAAGAACTCTAGATACGCAACTTGCACGGAAAACCACAACTTGTTACCAAAACTAGTTATATCTCTTTGTAATTTCTGACTTTGTTCTTGAGATCAATAAGAAAACGACTTTCTTGAACTCTGATTCCATATTTTTAGTCCTCTGGTTTACCTATGATGATTCTACTTGCATAATTTTAGCGCTCTATGTGGGGACTCATACATAAAAGCTCCCTAGATCTACACTAGGCTAAGACCAACCAAGAAGAATCGAGAACGAGGACACATTTTCAGCTGATATCGGACATTAGCAAAGCTACCACATCTGGCCAAGGAGCACTACCCCCTCCGCAACCGATGATCCAATGAGGACTGATCTAGCAAACCTCCCAGAGAACAAGGAGGAGAACCTGAACGAGAATCACGGTGAAGACGACACTTCCTCGGACCAGGAAGAACCGATCTTACCGAAAGGCAACACCGAATTGCCCACCTAAAAAAGGAACACTGGTACCATTGTCACGACAACAGGAAAAGAGACTGTGAATGAAGAACTCATGCGCTTCCTCGTCGACCAGTTCGCCCAGCAGGGAGAGAAGATCGCCAACTAAAGTTGGCCGTTTTGCTCCACTTCTGTGATCACAAGTGCTAAAGCGGAAAAGCTTGTTAGGGTTTATGGTGAGTGAACAGAGAGTGAATCACAGTTGTTGCTGTGTTTGTGAGATTGGGTAGATTAGGAATTGGTCAGTGACGAGTCGTGTTGACTACGTGTAAAACTGATTAAACTGATATGTAATGATTGTTTAAGTGGTTTCTAATAAGAACTGAGGTTCGTCCCAATTGTTTCTACATTATAGTATTTTTATTTGGTATCAAAGCAGGTGACCAACCTGAGTATAAGCTCAATACATGTTAGATCTTGTGGTTTAAGAATGTCGACGTCTAAACTTGCTCTACTCTAGAGACCTGTGATGCTAGATCACAGACGCTATGGCTACTGGAAAACATGGATGATGCAGCTAATCATAAGACAGGGTGAAGACGACTGGACTGCTGTAGAAATTGGATGGGAAGCACCGTTTGTTACAACTGAAGTTGGTTTCAAGGTTATCAAACCTAAAGCAAACTGGACTACTGATGAGAAGAATCTATCCAAGTTTAATGCGAGAGCTATGAATGTTATCTACTCCTGTCTTGATGAGAACGAGTTCAACCTGGTTCAAAGAAGTGAGTCTGCTAAACATATGTAGGATATTCTGCAAAAATCAGATGAGGGGAACAGTATTGTTAAACGAACTAGGCTAGATCAACTGGCCATAGATTTTGAAAACCTGAAGATGGATCCTTCAGAATTGATTGTTCAGTTCATCCAAACTAGGTGGTATTGCTAACGAAGCAAAGACACTGAGAAAAACGTACAAGGAGAAGAAATTAGTGAAAAAATTGTTTCGATGCCTACCACAGAAGTATGATGCACACACAGCTGTCATGAGGGTATCAGGTAACACAGAAACCATAAAGTTTGAAGACCTTGTAGGGATTTTGAAATTTGAGGAGATGGAGGTGGCTGACGATCAACAAAATCTCAACAAGGGAATTGCATTCAAGGCTGATGAAGATAAGTGTAAAGATCCGCTGCAAGAAATCAGAGATAATCTGGCTCAAATGACAAAAAAGTTTATTTGAAGCCTTGAAACGTGTTGAGAAAGGTATAAACAGAGATTCAGGAGATGTTCAGGCCTCTGTCGCTCGAATAGGTGTGATACAGAAAAAGTCTAAGAACAGATTTCAGAAGACTGATGGTTTAGGCAGGAGACATGATTTTCAGTGTCATGAATGTGGTGGTTTTGGGCACTATAAAACTGACTGCCCAGTTGCTAAACGCAAATAGTTGAAGTGTTCAGAATGTAAAAGTGTCAGACATCTAAAGTCTGAATGCCCAAGTGCACAGAGAGGCAAAGACAAATCCTACTTGAGTTTAAGTGACTCAGATTCTGCGAGTGAAGAAAAAGAAGACAGGATGCTGAATTTAGTTGCTTTTAGTGCAAAAGGTAATGTAAGTTCAAGTGATGAGGATTTTGATTCAGATGATGATGGAGAATTGATCTCAAGTGACAGTTACCACACTCTATACGACAGCTGGATACTGTTGAGCAATGACAAGTTGCAGCTCACCAAAGAGAACCTGATGCTTATGGCAAATGTGAACATGTTGGAAGAAGAAGCCAATGAAGAAAAGGTTGGTGAAAAGCTGCCTTTACTTGAAAAGCATATTGTTGAGAAGAAGATGAATTGTCTATAAGAAAGTTATG